CAAATAGCATAGTTTTGTTCCTCGCTCTACAAAACATAGAGATCTAGTGTTGCCACCTCTCTAAAGACTGTCCAGAGAGAAGCTTTGACTGTCCAGTCAGTGAGATAAACATAAAATAGCTACTTAATTTGGAAGGGTTCATATAGGCACTGGATACTGCACAGATGTAGTGTACTGTCATCCTTTGCAACAGACCAGGTTCCCAGTTCTTACAACTATATTTGGCCTTGAAAGAATAACCACAGTAGAGCTGATAACTGTACTGCAGATCATGGGCAGACTGAACAGAATTTAGGTCAGCAACGTAAGTTTTCTGCTGGGAAGATAGCAGAGGGTCGGATTGGAGGATTTGGAGTCGGTGTTTTCTTCTTTGCAAGACAGGAACATGAGGAATAAGCAGACAGGAATAAGTGGAAGATAATATGGGAAAAATGCTTCTATTTCCAAGCTGCATGTTAAAAACCACTAATGAAGACATTCTGCCGGCACGCTGGTTAAAATTAGAGTGTAAAGTATTATTAAAAAATAAAAGAGGCACGTCATCAGAAGGGTACCTTTGTCATATACAGCAGCAGCTGAACTAAATGCAATGATTCTTTAACTATCAAGAATTAGTATTTATTACGTGAAGTGCTTGGTTATTTTCTCCACCTCAGTAATGGGAAAATTCCTGCTTTCAGACTCACTTGGCTCATGAATACACTCCTGTCATAAGATGCCCCATGGATTTAAGTTCTCTTTCTTTACGCCCCTAAAGTCTATACCATAAAGTATCCTAACATAACCTGACATCCCAGCCTGAAGCTCAGAAATCGGACCGAAAATCTGATCGGTCAACAGCTATATCAGCACCTATCCAAGGACTCTGACGGAAGCAAGTTCTTCTGCAGCAGTTTCAACTAGGTCCGCGTCAGGAGGATCATGAACACAGACTGTCTGTGCCTCAAAACAAATTGACATGGTTTCTGGGTGGAATTTTCCTTGCTATTTTACAGCTAGTCAGGGACTGGATCCCCAGAGCTCCTTTTACTACCAGTGGTTCAGATAATCTCCCTGCTACAGGGATACTGCAACTCTGCACACTGAATCTCACAGATGTGGTGATGTGGCTGTTCTGCAGAACACAACAGATCAAACAAATGATTTCCTGAATAAACATGGACAATAAGAACTCACTGAAGTTACTACAGTACTGTGCAAGTATGATTTCTAGGAAAAAGGATTAAAAAATGCATTGACCATAAAGAGATCAGAAGAAATACTTCCTATATTACACTAATATAAATTGCATTTTCCCTGGAAGCAAATTAACGCTCAGAGCAGAGTATCAATCAGTATCATAGCTAATGGCAGAATTCAGTTTCAGAGAGAAGTTGGGTTCTTTTCTGTCTGTTTTTAGACATTTGATTATAATTCACATGTCGAAAGTTCAGGATTTCCCTGGAGCAATCAGAATCAGAAAAGTGAAGTAAATGAAACATGTGCAAAACCTATACAATCCTGCGACTTTTATGTATCGAGCAGAGAGCACACTGCCACTGCTGCGAAAGAAGTAAAAGTTATTTTCAATAATATCCTTCTCACTTCTTAAATCTGTAATAGGACAACATGGACCACTCCAAATAATTCATCTCCACATTTAAAACCATAATTAGACCATGCAAAGCAAGGACATTTACTGGCAATGCTGTTATTCCCTCAACACCTCAGGAAAGAGAAAGCTTTTTGTAGGACGCAGAAATGAAACAAAAGCACAAGTTTAGGTCATTAGTCAATTTTGTTTGATTAGTACAAAAAAACTCCCCAAGTCAATGCATTCAAGGCTCTGTATTACACTTGAATAAAATAATCATTCAAAATGCCATCAGTAAATGCCCGTTCCTGATGAATTTTGTGCATTTTAATGAAATTAAACTTCTGGTTTCTTATATACAAGCCAGTTATTCTGCAGGTAAGTGCTAGCTTAATGGAAAACCTGGGACACTCAAACTCTTAAGTTATGGGCCACTGGAAGTGACATATCAACATTAGTTATCTACTAAACTCCAAAAAAATGTTTCCCTTTTGCTCTGAAAAGCTAAAGTTTTCAATCAATATTGCCCATGTAGGAAGGGTTCCACCCAAAGTAGTACTGGCTGCCTTTAAAGAGAGCTCAAATCACAACTACCAGAATACAGGAGGTGGATGGGAAGCAATGACGGTCAAGAAGTTTCCCTTCCACAGCCAAACTCTGGGCATTTTCCTGCGCTCAGAAAAGAATAGCTTGGCCTCTGTCTCTAATCTAGCCTCTCCGAGCCTCCTTCCTGGTCACAGAGAGTTGGGAACAGCAGAAAGGAGAAGCTATTTCCCTATTTTCTACTCCCATGGGGGCAAGGGGGGAATTCTAGGATCTCTTCACAGGAATGCATCAGAAACTTAGAAGCAGGGCAGCTCTGGATCCCACTATATAGAGCAAATACCTGTGCACAGAGGTGTCTTTATTCCTATTAATAGTTCCATTAATACAGAGCTGCTGAAGGGTATATTTGCAGGATATAACACAAGATCAGCAGCTCCCACCAGTAATCTGGAGGGCCATAAAACACGTTACATTAATGATAGGATTTGCTTTGATTTTATGTAAGATTGTACCAAATTTCTTGCCAGTCCCATTTCCCTGCCTCTAACTGGTACGACTTCACTTCCTGACCCTGCTCCTGTACAAACTCATGTCATCGTATACCTATCCTGGAGAGCACATAACGTCTCAGTAAGCACCAAAAGGCGTCTGCTCAGTGGCAGCGGCCCACATGGTTCTGCCATATGCTTCTCTTTGTCCTTTCTGGTCCTTTTCCCCTTGGTACCAGTTGACCTCTGGAAACAGATCAGGAACACCTCAGCACAATCTGTGATGCACCATTTCTGAAATCACGCTCTAAGGACAAGCTGGGGATGGGGAATTATTCTCTTTCATGCTTAAAAGATTTAAAAAAAACAAATAGTAAGAACTATTTCTCTCTCACGCAACTTTTTTCTTATGCGCCACTAAGTTACAATTATTATTATGACTTAATGAGACTTAAAGATTCCTGCATGAAGGGATAATTTCTTTTTATTTTACTTACCTGAAAAAGATAACATCATCTTTCTAATTGGAATACATCAATTACTGTGCTTTGCCCAAAGGGGACAGAGAGCAGATTACACAAGAAAGCTATTCAAGTTTACCAAGGATAACTAGCCATGATTTTTATTTTTGTAGCTGCTGGCTAGCGAAATAGTACTTTTTTCAATCCCAAAGTACGGTGAGGTTGAAAATCAGCATTCAGTCAACAGCTCTGCTAGGGTTCTTCTGCAATCACTGCCCTTAAAAATTTGCCAATTGCCTTCCACAAGTAAGCGTTTGCTTTCAAATAACTCCGTATTTGCAAAACGTGCAGGTATTTCCTACAGTAAATATAATAAGGGCCAAAGAGACATTGCATATATGTTGGTAATCTTTTCTGAAAGAAAGTTGTTCTTTCATAAAGGACCACATCCTTACGAACTCTCTACATTCAGTATGTCTGAATATTGCACACAATGAGACACCTAACCCTTTATGAAGTTCCATACACAGCATTTTAACAAATTCCCATTTGAACGACCAGTATGTTTTTCCAGGTACTACAGTAATTATTTCCCCACTCTTAAGACAAATAGATTGTGTAACTATTAGTTTATACTTGATTCTTGAGGGAAGGGAGGGAATAATGACAGTGGGGTTAATGTGATCCAGTGCTAACTCATTTAGTACTGAATGGCCTTCAGGCAACATATGTGTTATTCAGTTCATACCTTTTGACTCTGTGGGCCATCACCTTCATCAGAAGTGCCATCTTCCTGTTGATCATAAGCAGGTCCTCCCAGGAGCCTTATTCTCTTTTCACATTGCTTCTTTGCCACTGTCAGCTGATTAATATACCTCTTCACATTGCGCGCCCTCAGTAGATCAGCTTTCATTGCAGCAGTTTCTTTTCCTTTTGAATCTAAGAATAAAGCAAATCAGAAACAGTCTTTTACAACAGAAAAATATCATCTTACCAATACTTGAAGCATTTGCCATTCAAGATTCAACACGCACTTAAGTACAGATATTCGCAAGTTTGTGTTTGAAATAAAATGATGAGTTCTGAAATATTCTCCAATATCTCAAGTGTTTATATAAACAGAAAAAAATTATATTCAAATACCCAGTGAATTGTGGTCCCTCCATCTCTCCTCCCGTGGCTTATTACAAGACATGGTACCAAGACTTTTATTACAAAGATGTACATTTGTTAGATGGCCTTAGGAAGTTAACTGCAGCCGTGGTGCATGATAACACATGGAGCTGATGGTCTAAGGATCAGCACAACATTTACTGCCTAGAATCATAAGGGACTGGACTCAATCTCCTCCAGTCAAGCCATCTGTATTTCCATGGACCTCATTTGCAAATCCAAATTTCTTTAGTGTACTGGGAACAGCATAACAAATAGTCATGTCCACAAAAACAACAACATTGACCGAAGTCCTGTCAAAATGTTGAGATGAATACGAGAAATCTTAGAATGCTGCATCAGGACTGCACAATAGTGTTAAACAGGGATGTAACACGGGGAAGACACTCAGCAGAATGAGACTTGGTAATAAAAGAAAAGGTATAACGTTCATATAGTCCACATCCCAGCTTCTTCAGCTAATTAATAGGGCCTAAGCAAACAAAAAAAACAAACAAAAAGCAGATAAAGCAGATTTAAAAACCCTCCTGTGTTGAAATCATTCCTGTGTTATACCTGCAGGCTGCAACCAATTCACATTAATACAACGGTTTTGCTATCCTCACGTTCAGTGAAAATATTTCTGCTTTTGCAGGCTGCAGCTAGAGCTCTAGAGTAAAACACCTGGCTTGCGTTCAGCTCAGGATTAACATATTGCTCAAGGATGAGGGACAGAAACCCATTCTGCCATGTTTTTGAAATATCAGGTGCTAGTATGTGAGGCAGATGAAAATAACGTTCCGTTTTCAAAACATTACATGTGACCTGAAGTTTTGTTGCTTATGTACTGAAGGCCAACCCACAGTACAGGGAGCTCCCTGAATTTCTATATGCAATGTAAGCACCGATATTTTCCCAGTATCTTTTCCCATATTTCTAATCTCACTTTATTTACTTGCTGTATGTATTTATGTACGTTAGTACGGAAGCTTCCTGATTCAAGGACTGTTTGTATTTTACTGGAGAGGTATCATTTGCATCTGAGGTGCTACAGAAGCAGTGAGCTACAGAGATGATACTCCAGCAGAAAATAAAATGAGCTTCCTATTAAAAAGACAGAAAGAAAGAAAGAAAAAAAAGTGCCATCTGTTTCCTTGGCATGTTACGTCCACAGGGAAGTCAATAAAGCACTTAATTTACTGTTTGAGTTCCCTGACTAGAAGTATCGGCACTAGTGAGAGAAAAGGAAAGGAGAACAAAAGGCAAGAAAAGACCTGAAATACAAAATAGATCTCCCTCCTCTTTATTTAAAACATTTACAATTAACATAAATATGCAGATATGCAGATAGGAGTTTAAAGTAGGAGACTAAAATCCATCACTTTCCCTCCGGCATTTGACTGAAAGATAATTGCTAAAATTTTTGTTTTCTCAGTAGTTTAAATACTTTGGCCTCAAAATCCATACCCAGTGACAAGCGCAAACCTGCCACCAAACCGCTTTGCCGAAAGCCTTCTCCCCTTCTCTCTTAGCTCTGCCTCCCGCACAGTCTGTCCCTCCCAGGGCTGCTACGGGTTGCGCTGCCTTATTCCCCTGCAGCCACACAGCCATCGCTCGGCAGGGCTGACCGAGCCTGGCCGCTTGAAAACCCCCACTTTGAAAGCCTGTGACCAGAGCTACATGAGGATCTTTCAGCCTTCTTAAAACAAAATGTACTGTTCTTAGCAAGGAGAACAACTTCTTGGAGGGTTTTAGTAAGGAAGTATGTCTATTTTACTGAGGACTTTCCAGCCTGTGGTTGTGGCAGACCTCCAGGAAAGGCTAGTGAGCCCTATGTCCCACCCGGTTCCTCTGACTAGGTCAGAGAGCCTTCAAGCAGCATTTGCCTCACTCAGCTCCCATAAGGGACCATTCCAGGTATGAAACACTCAGGGCAGCGATGAAGATCACACTGCCACAACCTGTTCCCCTTCCGTCGATAAACAGGGCTTTAATCTCCACGAAAGCCTGGCAGCCACATCTCCTCCCACGTAGACAAGAGGCCCATGAAGAGCGTTCCCGCAGCTAGCGCGGCTAATGCTCTGCCCCCTAAGGGGGAGGGAGCGGAAGCACACACAAACGCTGCATCTCACTCAAATACTCCAGTATGAAACACAAGCTAGAAGAAAGCAGAGGAGCATTTTAATATAAACTCAGGAAAGACAGGAATGGCACTGGCTTTCTGCTGTCCTTTTGAGATTTTTGAAAGTTCCCGGGTTTTCAAATCTAAACTACTCTGTTATTTTGTTTCTATTAAGCCCTACTAGAGAAATAATTTAACCTATAAAGGTAACTTCACTTTTTAAATCTGTTCTTGCTGGAACCCAACACCACTAACGTACTAACATGTAAATATTTTTGCTGTTTTTGAATATCACTAAATAAAATATTCACTAGAGTCAGGTATCACTGAATAAACCAAAGAAAAACAGAAAGTTACAAAAGCAAAAGCTTGCATTTACTCCCATAGGCTTCTGTAAGCTCCAATAAAGGAAAGAGAAACAGATATAGGTCACTAAAACACACTGTTCCCCCACAGTGCAAGGAAGGGAAACATAGCCTTTAGATAACTGGTGAAAACGTTACAGCTTTTGGATTAAAAATTCTAATTGTTTTGGTGGAGGGTTTAAAACTTCATCAGCAAAACACAAACAAAGCCACTTCTTTGGCACTTCTTCCCCACACGAGTTGCGTACACTTTTTCACTTTTCCTGCAACGCCCAAGCAGGTACTCAATCCGCAGAGTAGCCCAAGGCCCTCAACTTCCTCCAAAATCTCCCAGCCAAATCTCCAATCACATCCCCTTCCCACCTCTCAGTCACTTTTGCAGTATATGCAAAAACCAGACCTAGACCCAGTATTCTTCTTTTTATCACATGAGAAAAAGTTACTTCCCCTCAGTCCCAGCTACAATTCTCAAACAGGAGCTCAGGTTCAATTTATTTTTCACTTTTTCACTGAGACTGCAGCTCCTGCTTTTGAAAGCACGACCTGGAAGGGGCAAGAAGTGAGACTTGCATTCTTGTTCCCTGTATAATTCAACTTGCACTGGATAATATTAAAATATGAATGGTCAAAATTACCAAGTAATCAAAACTGAGCTAATTATTTTTCACTCCATCCACTTTTGCACATATAAAATGATTTCTGGCAAAGCTCCCACATTTTCTTCTGGATCACTCATAGCCACCTTGATTAGCACTGGGCCAGGAGCATCCATCTTGTCAAGCTATTTAAACCCTGCTCACAAGTTGTGCAAAGAAATACCTGTCAAATCACCTGGTTAAACAGGTGTGTCTAATTAGCTCAACACAGACAGACAGACCTACAGCCAAGGAAGAGCTTGTCTTCAGCTAAAAAGTAATCTGAGTTACAGATCAAGCATTGCCTCTAATTCCAGTCCCGCTCTCTTCTGCACACCGCCCTCCCCCTTATCATAGGGATGACAATATTTGGTTTTTCAACAGTTAACCTGTCAGAGAGCATAAAAGACAAATCAAGTTAGCTACTGAAACTTGTGCTAAACCCCAGCCACTTCAGGAAGCCGATCTGGGGGAAGGGACTTAAGTAAGGGAAAATTAAGGATTTAGCCACTGACTGTTAGCACTAGCTAGTGCAAATCATCTTCCCATGTTACAGCCACAGCTGAGCAGAATAAAAATCAAAGTGGCAGTAAGGGTAGCTTTAAGCACGGGATTAAGTTTGTACCATACACGGAAAGAACATCTGCCAGGTATTGCCTCTGCCTGGCATGTCCGTGCATCGCCTCCTCCCTCCATCTTTAGCGTTGAGCATCACCAAACAAACTGCGGAAAGATGGATTACCATCACCAGTGCACAGAAAGTATCCCAGGAGACGAAAGAGCAGCCTACTCTACGGAACTGATTTAGAAAGCACAGATCACAACAAACTAGTCCCTCAGGATCAGAGGCATTGTAACCTTCGCCTTCCTCCACCAGAATTATCTCTATATGTAACACTTGAGCAGAACATGCAAACACGACTGTAGCTCTTTAAGCACTGCCAATAAGCTAGGCAAAAAATAACTGTCTGCTATGCATGTTTATCCTTGTTTGGAGGATGGAGGGGGGAAAAAATCATACTACAGTTTTGTCAAAATTAAAATTAGATAGCATATGTAATGCACTTCAGATGTAAAGCATTTTACTTCAGTCTAAATTATCATCTTGACAAAACCCACACATCATAAAAAAAGCACACATCCAAGATAGCTTGGGGCCCGAGTTTCTAATAAAAAAAAAGAGTCACTTTTTATATCTGAAAATAAAAGCATCTTTCAGAACCACAGTACCTAAAAAATTTGCCCACAGACAGTTCTGTTTCTGTACCGGTCTTCAGCATCCCCTATAAAAGCAAAGATCTAGATGCGTAGTGGGAATGCTCAGCAGGAGAAATCTTCTACTTCAGCACAGCAGATTTTCTTCTTATGGAAATGGCTGCTTATTCGATCTGTCTCACAATCCCTGCTTGAAAAGGAGTAATTTTCTCTACAGGGATGCCCTGTGGTCAATTACAGTGTGGTGTCTGAAAGCACTTCTATCCCGTCATCCTACGATGGATGTTTCTGGTCATGCTGTGAAGCCGTGTAGAAGGTGGAGGGCACAGAAAATTAGATGGTAAATCATACAAGTCCTTCTACAGCATTAGGGAGCGAGGGCGGGGGGAAGAGCTATTTGCTCAGTTTTACTCTAAAACAAGGCACATGCCTCCATGGGATTTTTTTTGTTTTATAACATTTAGTAAAAAAGGATCCTTGCTAAAATTCCTGTAAAATCCTGTAACATAACAGCAGTAAGAGAAGAAAGGAAAATGTCTCCATTAAAATAGTTAAAACAGAACTACTGTATTTGAGCAATTTCTGACTTACATTACAGCAAACATCAAAACAGCACAGCAATTTGTTTTTGCTTTGCTGCTATTTCATTACTGTTTCTGAAGCTTTTTCTTTAGAAAAGTTAAGATCCACTCCTGTTTCTAGAAACTCAGATCCTTTCCCACTCATGCTACAATGCCCAATTTGCACATGTATCCTTTTACAAAACTGCTTTACTAGGATTAAAAAACAAATTTTCAGGAAGTTTTTCAGGAATTTCTAGTCCTTCAAAAATGTTTAAAATATAGATTTTGAACTCACAAAAAAAGTACCACCCAAACTTTAGCTTAAATTTGATTCAGTACTTCCAAGAGATTAATTCTGATCAAAAAGCAAGATGAGGAGAGTTTTATAATTACAGATGTAGAAAGATTTGATTCTTCCAACCAGAGCACATGTGACTGCAGAATTGCACCGGAAAAAAAAAAAAAAAAGGAACAAGGACAAGGGAAAAGCAAACCTCCTCCCTCCTCACTGCTGCAATAATCACGACCATTTTGGAAGAGGGTATGCAAAAGGACAGTTAGAGGAGAGAGAAAGCAGATGCATGTAGGCTAAAGGATTTAGCAGTTCTGGGCAAGCCTAAATGAGGGAAGTTGTGCAGTGCCAGCATGCAGGATAGCAGCTTCTATTTGCAGTGGCTCGCATGACTCCAAAAATAAGCTCTCAACACCTCTGAAAGCACCAATGCTACATTAGGTTTCTTGTCATTCAGTTTCAGCAATGACCAAAACCAGTCCTCTTGGCCACAGAAATTACATCATCCACCCACAACAGGCATCACTACTGTGAACCTCTCAAATTATTTTGTCTTGACCTTTTAAGACATTTGACTCTCTCAGGGAGTCAAATGCAAAACTTACTGCTTAACATGAATCAGATGCTTTTGTACGTTTTCCTTTGCTCTCCCCTAGGCTCACATGCCAGAAGATTCAAGGGATAGAAATCTGAAAAGAAAAAAGACCCTATAACATGCCATTTTTCACTACACAGGGTTTAACACAGTGATGTTCAGAAGTACTTTAAAGTACTTTCAAAACGCTATTAAAGGGTCCTAACAGCAGAACAGTTAGCCAATAGGTGGCACCAACACTAGTTAGACAAGCGTAAAGAACCTTGTCCTTGCTGAGGGATAAGCAATCCTCTCAAACACCTCTGGGCACCAACATTAAATGCGTTCCTTAATATCACGGGATAAAACAATTAAAAAAAATCTGTTTGGTTTGCTGACTGTGAATTCTGTCTCCTCAGTCAATGCAGAGCTGTGCAACCCTGCTCAGTCTCATTCACTGCTAGTCACGTACTTGCACAGCATGCACTTTGTTCAGGTAGTAGTAGCAAAGCACTCGCTGTTGCCACTCATGCCGCACGTTAAGTGCTGCTCAAATTTGTTGCTGTACCTTTTCCTATTGACAACACTGCCTCAGGAAGCTCCCACGCTCAAAGAGATGGGGACTGAGACAGTAACTGTGTAAGTATTATTCTCTATTTGCTCTACTCCTACACTCTGCCTTAGCTTTCCACCTTTGGCCACTGCTGGAAACCGGAGAGCAGGCTACAGACGCTCTTGGCCAGACTAGCTGTAGCTGCTCTAGGTAAAAACCTAGACATGACAGAAGCTACACTCTCACAATGCAGCTTTGCCATAGGAGAAAGAAAACAGCTACCAGTAAGCCTAACAGCAGGTTGGAATCAAAGTTAAGAAACACTCATGACACAAAAGGCAGAAGCTCATTTACTAGTAGGAAAGAGGAGATGGCTGAACACCCATGCTCACACATGTCACTGCAGATATGTTAGCAGGCACTGGGAGAACACATTAAAAAAAGGAGGACAAAATAGGATTTGTGCAAACAAACTTCCATTTGACATAAAGCTTATGTTTAGTCTTTCCTCATGAAATTCAGCTGTTACAGAGGCAGTACGTGGTGGCATCAAGAGAGGGACACAAAGAGGCGACATCACTTATACAGTGGTCTGTTCTGCAAGAGTCCAGCGATCTTGTACTAGCACAAAGCTGTGCTGGCTTTTTTAGGAAGGTAGCAGAGCTTTTTCCTTAACTGTTTTTCCTAAAATTCAGGAACATATTAGATTAATAATCACATTACGAGAAAGGTCTCCACCTACTTCAAGAAAAAACAAGACACAAAAAACCTTAAGAACTAGATTTTACCCCTCTACTTTTTAACAGATCCTCTTAAAAGTTTACTGTACGTAGACTGAGCCTGACAATCTTGGTAGATGAAAGCCTCAGTGGAATAACTGGAATTTGCCTTAAAGTTGCGTGAACTACAACAGTGACTGTATTGTAGGCCAGTGCTGGACACACTGTTCCACATGTCAAGCAAAAAATGCTATCTTTTTCCTCAGGCACAATGTTAATATCCATTACCTATTTTATAAATAAAAGGTTTCCTGTAATAAACCCCACTGGCTAACACAGTCAGCAACAGTACCTCTGTCAACAACTCAAATAGAGATATGAGGTTGCCATTTAACTAAATTAACAATAAAAGTCAATACCTTAATGCAAAACTTCAACACATCAGCTACAAGTTTTCTGCGTTTTTTGCTTGCTTTTTTTGTGTTTTGTTTCTGAAAAGGCAAAGTAAACTTCATCACAGAATAAATGGAACGAGGTCTATTTTGGCAGAATAAATAGTAATAGTCCTTTTACATCTATTCTGCAGTACCAGGCATTTGTACCTTCAGAAGAACATCTGTTCAGGTTTGAGTATAATTGATAGTTAAGCAGATAAACTCAAATGAGGCAGAACAGAACACCAGTAATTAACCGTAGGAACCTGAGCTGTACAAAAATATTCCCTAAATCAATTCTTGTGACAACAAAGACCAATACTAGCACAAATGGAAACACAGCCTTAGAAAGACTGATTTTTTCCTTAATGAACTCACAAGTTAACTTCCCTGTTCTCATTTTAATACCTCATGTAACAACCTTTCCAGTAAATTAACTTCCATCTGAAAAACACTACTATTTCTTTTTCTGCAATGCACACTTATGCAAAAAAAAAAAAAAAAAAAATCCAGTTTTCCTTTTGCCTTGGTTTGGCACAAGTAATTTATCCTATAGAAATGCATATCTAGCTCTATAAAGGAACACCAGTACTGACAACCTTGCACTTTCAAAAATTTGAGCATGGACCCAAAATTCTAGATTGACTGAAAATTCTTTTTTTCTTTTCCTCACGGGGGCTGTGTCCTTTCAGTTTTGCACTTTTTCAGTACACTTGAATTTGTTAAAAAACACTGTTCCTTGTTACACAAAGCACTAGAAAAGGACCTAGGTTTTTTTTCGCTTGGTTCTTATTTAAGTATGAAAGAGAGGATCTAGAGATTACATGTGAATCTAGCAGCAAGTTTTTTGAGATGAAATATATGACTATCAGGAAACTCCCCCCAAAAATCTACAAAATGGGCATTTAAAAAGCTTGGCAGGAAATCCAGCCAAAGGTCTACCACGCAGTATATAAATCATTCTTCCATTTTATGTTACAAAGAAATTAATTTAGATAGCCTTTCACTTTTCATTATGCTTTGGCACCTTAAGTATATCTAGCCAACCAGAAACTTGGTCAAATAATTTTGCCATCAGTGCAGATCTCCTGAAGACATACCACAGTTTTGGTACGTTTTGAGAACCATAAAGAGAAGGAAGTATCATAATTGTAAGTACAAATGCAAGATGTAAACGCATGTGCCTTTTAAAAGGCAGAAGTGCTCAAAAGGCTTACCAAAACACTGCGGAAGAATTCAGGAGCAGCCTATAATGCAACACAAAGACATAATGCAACAAAGGGTCAAAATAAAGCCCAACTGACAATTATGCTGGATCATTCCTTCTTCTGTGTTTTGAAAGGAAAACAGACTGACACTTGAAAGAATGGTCCGTATGAAAGAGGAAGCAAGATTTCATAGCAAAAGAATCTGCAATGCCAAAAACCCAAGCTGCAACAAGTGCTGAAATAACTGTATCCCATGACCCTTCCCAACCCACTAGCTTAGATGAAAAGAGAGGAAAAAGTGCGTGTGTGTGTATACATATATGCATGCATGTATGTATATAGGGAGTTTGGAAGAACCAGACAAATGAAACAGAACTGAAACACCAAAAGCACATTAATCCCAAAATCTGTCTAAAAATCCCCCACATAAACCAACTACATACATATTTCTGGAGTTCAAATAGCTTTCTAAAATAAAAACAATAGATGCAACTGTTAACAAAATGGATTCTTACCTTTCTGCCTCTTCACTTGGGGAAAATTGCTGATTGTGGTTGCCTGAACTATTTCCACTACAATCTGATACCTAGGTTTAAAAACAGTGGGGGACAAGGGTGAAGAGGGAAGAGAGAAAAGAAAAATATGGTGTTAACTTCTTTTACGATGTTCTTCATACAGTACACTTTAGAATCAACAAAACACTAAAACACCTCCACCTCCTCCTCACACGGAAACAGCCATTTCTCATGACACTCCCCACATAAGGAGTAGCGCATACAGGGAACAGAGCAGGAAAAAAGTTTTTATCTTGAAACAAAATAAAAACGTCCAAGTAACAACAATGCTGCCCCCTTCTCTCCGCTGCTGCCACTTTACAGCCAACTAGTAACCATGCTAAAGCCATGCTCTTCGCATTAAAACCAAATATAATTACCTGTACGAAGCTAGGAGGGGAGCTCAGTTCAAGAGAAATGACATGTCCTGTAAGGTTCTTCTAGCTAATGCCTTCAACAAACATACGGAACGCGTGTAACTGAGAAAAGACCTTGAAGTACTATACACCAACAATAATTAAAAGCTGTTTGGCTCCTAAAATTATACTACACACAACGCAAGGCAGCTAAAGCCGTTCACAAACTGCATTTTAAGCAAAATCCATCTTGTAACTAACAGACATCACCCATTCAGCAAAGAAAACTACCGCCAGCTCCAGCTAAATATTTCATAAGCTTAGAAATTCTGTTTGTGGCAACCTCTCAAATTTTTCTCAGTGCATTTCTTTGTCAGCTATTAATACAAGGAATAAACTTAGTACTGTAGTAAACTGAACTCATTTCCGTAGGAATTCCCTCATCTCATCTATCAAGTTACCTCCTAGATGAAGCCTGCTCTCCTGGGAAGTCTCCAATTCCCGTGGCTACTTATTCTCTGTTTTAAGACAGACCCCACGATCTTTAGAGTATGTTCTCCTTCCTCCAGGTATGCTTCTTTCGTCAACAATACTCGTGTCCCCTCACTCTTCCCGTCTCCCAGAATTCTTTGAGAATTCAGGTGGTCTCTGCCTCTCCGTACAGACATACAGTTTTACACAGCATGAATTACGTCATTTGCTCACTCGTGATTAAACTTACAAGGCTTACCTAATTTTTGGGGCACCCAGCTTAACTCTACACAACTCCTTCAACTACCAAGTTAAAATTTGAGAACTTGTTGGTAAACCTTTAATTCTTCTTTTTGCCATTACTTTAGCTTAGGTGTTTTCAGGCAGCAGCACAGTTGTGAGCAGCATTTAAGAAGAGCCGCACAGCGAGAGTGGCAGTTTGGTGTGCCCAAGTCCTACATTTAATTCCCTGCTCAGTCATAGACTTCCCAGATGATTCTGGGCAGTAAGGACAACCAGTGGTTTCCACTTTTATACACAACTTTTTTCCTCCCAGGTTTACTCCTATTTGCTCCCACTGATGGCCTCACATGTTTTCATTATCAATACCATAATATAAAAATATCTTTTTTGCTGTTCTTTATCATACTGCCTTTAAGTACGGAAGATGCTCTAAGTTATGGCCTCAGAGATAACACTTAGTCTGTTCCTCCTAAGCACAGGACTATGGCTCTATCTACTCGGTTACAGTGCTGCATGGCACAAACCAGTCCGCTTTCCTGCATCACAGAAACATCACCTTACCTACCCTGGCCTGCCAGACCTTTAACCTTCTCCTGGCAAGTTTCTCCCGAAAATTTTAGCCGTTACATACTCTGTGGTACTGATAAGTAACCATCTCAGGAAGTTTTAATGCGATGTATTTATTTTATTTTCAGAAAATGAACTATGCATCACAAACTGGAAAGTACGGGCTCACACATGCATTGTTTCTACTTTCCCTCTCTTCTCCCTTTCCCTAATCCTTGCCATGTTCATTCCTTTCCATCAATTCTTAAGTAAAAGACGACACACTGAGCCAGTGATAAGTGTCTCTCTCTTATGACAAATTGCCTAGTGATCTTTTGCTGCTATACTAATAAACAACAGAATAAATACAATGCTGACCTTTAAAACAGAATGGAAACTATCCACCAGTTTATTTCCTTATCACTGTTTATTCTCAGCTATATTTTTAACTCATTAAGTCTTTTATCTCTAGCCTTCCTCTGACAGAGTAACTAAATTTGTTTCATCTCTCTGACATGGGAGAATTCATCTTTTCTTCCTTATTTGTAGCAGCCTTCCAGTTTATCCATGCTAACTTAAATCTGAGGGGAAACGAAGGAGAAATTTCACTACGTAACTTTTTCTTCTGGAAAGAAATGAGGATATCAAACTTTGTGGAAATTTTATAAAATAGGAATACAACTCTGCCTGCCTTCACGACAAGGGATATTGGAAGGTATACATTATAAAAATTGACTTTGAGGCATGTTCATAGATAGTCATATAATCTCCTCTTCTCCAGAAGCTTTTTTTGTCTTTAAATGAAAAGCTGTAACTACAGGACCTAAGCAAATTTTCAGAAAATAAAGGTATGAAACAAAAATTACAAAATAGTTCCTCAAAAATCAGCAAATCTGAGTAGATAGGACTTCTTCTAAACACAAAGACCAGCTTCCCAAAACGTCACTTAAAAAACAAAAGGGACGTTTCTACAAAGCAACAGAGAAATTCTGTTAAGAGTTAAAGCAACCAAAACTTAGAGGCCTACCATAGTTAAAAATGAACTGCGAATTCAAAAATATCTCCAAAATTAATTTAAATGATGCAAGAACTATTTATCATAAGCACTAAAACACAGAATCTGTGCAAGCAACACAAGGTTTCTTCTCTTTAGGCAAGGCTTCTAACATGGGAGAGAAAAAGGACTTAGAAAATCCCCGTACCGTCACCAGCCTTTTAAGGAAAGCCATTTGCAATGCAGAAAGTCAGCAGGCTTGCTTACAGTGAGAGGCGGTGCACGCAGCCTCCCATTCCTTTCAGATCCCCTGGCCAAAAACAACAGCACTCTTCGCTCACTAGTTTCTGCTGATCTGGCTGGGGATGCTTCCCTGTCTACCCAACAGCGTACACTTAGTTCTAATCACAAGAAAGTCTAGCAAAACGCTGTGAATAAAGCAGCCTGAAAGGATGCCTTGTGGGATTATAGAAGTCACACACGCACCCAAGAGCCTGAGCTTTCTTGACTCATAGTCCGGCAAGAGTTTGAGGAATTCTTTTATCAGTGCCTGATAGCTTCTTTCAATTCAGCAGTGTGTTTTACCTTTATTTTAGTAAGTAGATTATATTCATCTACAAAGAAAAAGCACGGCAGGGGTGCTTCAAAGACGTACTGGCTTTCTCAGCAATAGAATATTACTACCCAAAATAGCATCTAACTGGGAAACCTGGGTGAATACAATGTGGAATGGAACTGGAAAAATTCTTTGCACTCCTGTCCTTCCAATATAATCTAACCTTGACCCTCAGTTTTAACTGTGCAATAGCTTATTTACTTCTTCCTCTTTAACTCTTTCTTGATATATTTTCCTGTGATTCATTGTTGTGAATTACAGCTCAAATTTTTTTTTTTGTTCATGCCTATACGGACCACCTTTTTTTTTCCTTCAGATATAAGTCTTCAAACTTTCACTCATAAATCATGAAAGCTTTGCAAAATGTACCAGAGAAACTAGAGATGACTAATCTCACATCTCTCTAGGTTGCTGCCACAGTGCCGAAGACCAAACAGGATGAGAATCCCTCCCCCAAGAGTGAATGCTCTTTAACCACCATCCTAGGGACTGGGTCTATACAAACAGAGAAAGTAAGAGCATTTCCTCCAAAATCAAATACCTTTTCTCTTTGAAAAGAGAGAAATTTTCCTAGATGTATCCCATCCAAATACTAACCAGCTCAGACTGGTCAGCATTATATAGCCTGCATGAGAACACATCTCAAGATGATGGTAGCTGGACTGCACAGACTGGAAAGCAGAAACTAAGTGCAGCCAAAACAATGTTATTTTATAAAGCAAATTTGCCACCTGATCTTACAGAACACAATTTAAAGTGACCTATCAGCTAAAAAGAGAGCACATTGAACGTTAATGCGCCTGAACAACAACAACGTAAGAGTTGGGTTTCTTTTGAAATAAGCAGATCCATTAGTGTTATTATGCTAATAAATATGATGTCAATTAGGTTTTAGACAGAGTCTAATAGAGAGTAATTTCTGCTCTCAGGAACAGCACACTGGCCCAGAGTAAAGAGCAAATTTTACAGCAGATGAACAATAAGTAGCCAAGCAACAAAATCATTTCACTCTATCACCTAAATGCATTTTCCTGTCTCAGAAACACAAGTGGTCTCAGAGTTAAAGACAAGAACAAGAAAAAGAAAAGAGTTATTTATGCAGCCCATATACACCATCTCAGCAAACCATCCGTCAGGCTGATCAAGCTGGATCTAACAGAAGGCCTGGGTAACAACAGCTCGCACAGAGTGTACCAAATGGGATCAGCGTGCACGTGCCTTTCAGAGGCTGCTGCAGCCATTCATGGAGAGAGAAAGCTGACCTCTGTCAGCGCAGGAAGTGAGGGAGGAAGGAGAAATATCCTAGAAACAAAAATCTCTTGCAAAATTTCTGGCTGGGGGTCACAAATTAGGACTGACACTCAATGAATGGCTTCAGCAGTCCTCTAATGCTTTGGTGTGCTCAACAGAACCAACTCATGCACATCTAGGGAGATACCACCACAGCAGCATCTCTGCTGCCTGCTTCCAAGTGACTTATTTCTCATCCTTTCGCTTACATCACAAATCAGGGGAGAGACAGCTCAGCTATAAAGATAAGGCAAGCATAAACATTTTGTGCTTGGGCATGCCTGTCTGAGGTGAAAGCGGTATCTTAAAATGGAAGTTGGAAGAAGAGAAGTTGTTATCCAAGATTTTTGTGAGGAGGAGGGGGAAAATAAATTTGTACGAAGGTGAGCTGATGCTATTTGCATAAGTAAATAAGAACATTAAACATAGATTCGCTATGGACAGGAGGCTTAGCGTTTTCTTTAGTGCCTTAAAGAATTTTTCAGAGTTCACTCCCACATTTAAGAGGGATGCAACTGGGAAACACCTCCTTGTAATAATCCAGGAAAATGTCTGAGCCAGTGGTAAAACGTACTGGAACTCATATCCCTGTTTCCATATCACAGAATCACAGCAAGCTGCTCTGAATGCCTAATGTACACCGTGCTGCTATGGCTCATGTTCATCAGACCCCTAAGGCCAGTCATATTTCATAAAGATATCAAGGAGATACCAATCACTAGTGGAAATTCAGAATACTGTTCCATCTAACTCCTCAGAGGCATGACTCAAAGAAGGGTCCAGCATACCTTCTAACAGCACAGTAAGCTTCAGTACACTACCATCAGTTGTAGTGGAAATATTTTAACATTTTTTTGCCACCCAAATGAAAAGCTGACTGTATGAGAGGTTTAACAGGTGTTGTGGCTTATCCTTACAGTCTCTGCTTCACCAAAAACAATAAAAATTAAAAAAGAAAAAAAGAAAAAAAAATCACAGTTCATTCAAGTCTTAGCAATGGGCTGGCACAAGAAGTGTTTTAGTTTTGAATGAGCTACAGTGAAACATCAAATACCTCAGTTGTTTCAGGAATTCAATATCAGAGTTGCTGTTAATGAGCTTGATGAACTCCTCATAAGAAGGAGCATATGTGTAGTCTTTCTTGTGGTGCTCATTCATCTGTTCTCTGTACTCCAGCTGGCTGAGTAGCATTCGGTTGATATAATCTGGATCACTCAGCAGTTCCACCACTGGTTTCAGTACTGCAGAGGAAAAATATTTTAAAACAAAATCCTTATGCTGAAGAATTGTCCTTAAAATGTCAGGAGAATATTCCGGATAAAAAGAAAAATATTCAAGTTGATATACATCTCAAGAAACCATACCTCTAGACTCCAGAGTTAAGTGCAAGTACCTTTCTTCTTGAGAAAGCTGTATGTTTGCTTGATTACACAAACTGATGTATATTAATAATGTTGAGCCCAACTTGGAAAGTTTCCAACATTTTTGTTCTTTCTGCTGTGTGCCTTCAAAGCTATGCTACACAACTGCCATTACAAGTGAAAATTAAGGGAACTGAATTGCATGCCGTACTTGGGACTTCATGGCTTCCAAACTTTGACTTCCGTGACAAAAAAAGTGACTAGTATATTTATAATCTGATTAGAATGTATCTCATAAAACACAAAATATAAAACCCTCCATTAAAAAAAAAAGCATGCTGGATAAATCAATGTCTGCAAAAGCAGTTACATCTAGTATCCTGATTCGGTTATAATCACATCCTTAAATCTAGGATTCTACATATCTGAATCAAGAATAGAAAGGTCAGGATTATTCATACAATCACTAAAAATAATGCTACTGGAGACTGCAAAAGGTTTCCTCTATGAGTACAAGAATGGAACGGACATATAGGGTTTTATCCTGAGAGGTACCAAACAGCCTGGTATCAAATCAGGAAAGCCATTAAGTATATGGTTAATTTTGAGAATGTAAAGTGTATTACTGGTCTCATGTACACAGAGATAAGCACAGAATAAAATGCTATGAAATACTCTGCAGTCTTATAGGATCAGGTCTTGTAACTAACCAGTGCTCTGGATTTAAGTTGTCTGTGCAGGTCTAATCTGTGCACGTTCTGGTTATCATAGAAATTAAAAATCAAAGGTTAAAAGCATAGCATCAAGACATATATAAAGAAGCCTGTAATTACTCATACTGTACAAGTTGTTAATCATCTCTGATCTTTGATCTACCTTTTGTTGCAAGTATTTCTGCAAGGATTATGCGCAAGCTGACAGACTGGACATCCTTTGAGGGTAGGAGACAATACACCAAAATTTGGGAACATTTTTGCAGGAATCTTACTTCTTCATCAGAGCTCCTCAAGCATGGGTGCAGCAAAAAAGGTTTTGGTGGATCTTCCTGCCTAAGGGGGGGGGGGGGGAGGGGG